ATACTTATACGGGAGAGAATTTCTCATTAGGACGGATCATGCAGCTTTGAGGTGGCTGATGGAGATGAAGAATCCTGAAGGTCAAATAGCAAGATGGCTGGAAAAGCTGAACCAGTATCACTTCAAGATTAAGCATCGCCCAGGAAAACTACACCAGAATGCAGATGCCATGTCCAGAAGACCTTGTTCGGAAACCTGTAAGCATTGTCTGCGCATTGAACATCGAGAAGGAACCGCTGATGTTAGAAAAACCAGACTTGTGACCGATGATAAGTGGACAGCAGCACACATGAGACGAGATCAGGAGAACGATCCGAATATCGCCGATTTTCTACGTTGGAAAGAAAGAGGATCAGAAAGACCGACATGGAAGGATATCTCGGATAGAGGGCCTGCTTTCAAGGCGATGTGGGCACAATGGGACTCACTAGTTGTGGCGAATGGATTATTGAAGCGAGTTTGGGAATCAGCTGATGGTAGATCAACAATTTCTCAGCTGGTTGTGCCCCACATCAGAGTTAATGAAGTTCTGGAAGAAGTCCATGGCGGAAAATCTGGTGGACATTTTGGAGTTAACAAGACATTGAGTAAAATTCGAGAAAGATTTTACTGGGTTCAATGTCGTGACGACGTGGAAAGTTGGTGTAGAAGATGTCCTGTATGCGAAGCCAGTAAAGGTCCCAGAACGAGATCAAGAGCTGGAATGAAGCAATACAATGTGGGTGCACCGTTTGAAAGGATCGCCATCGATGTAGCCGGACCATTCCCTTTGACTGATGATGGAAATAAATACATCTTGGTTGCTATGGACTACTTCAGTAAGTGGGTAGAAGCATACGGCATGCCAAACCAAGAAGCCTCCACAGTTGCCAGGATATTGGTCGACAACATGTTTTCACGGTTCGGAGTACCAATGGAATTACATTCTGATCAAGGGAGAAATTTTGAGTCGAACTTATTCAAAAAGGTCTGTGATCTAATGGGAATCAGTAAGACGAGAACAACTCCACTACATCCACAATCCGATGGCATGGTCGAAAGATTCAACCGAACTATGGAAGAACATCTTTCCAAAGTAGTCGAAGAGCATCAGAGGGACTGGGACAGGCATCTTCCCTTATTCCTGATGGCGTATAGAGCAGCTGTCCATGATTCAACGAGGCTAACTCCAGCTAGTATAGTCTTTGGAAGAGAACTCCGCTTACCTTGTGACTTGGTGTTCGGTTCACCAAGTGTTGAAGAAAAGGAAGTACAAGACTACGCAGATGAGCTCCGGAATGGCTTGATGAAAATTCATGAGACTGCTCGGAAGAGATTGAAATTAGCAAGTGACAAAATGAAGGCACGGTACGATCTCAAAGCCAATTCAAAGGGATTCTTCGAAGGAGATCGAGTTTGGCTGTATAATCCTCGACGGAAGAAAGGCGTATCACCCAAATTAACACCATCTTGGGAAGGACCGTATACGGTGTTGAAAAGGATCAACGATGTGGTCTACAGAATCCAACGCAGCCCTAGGACAAAGATGAAAGTCGTTCATCTTGAAAGACTGAAGCGCTATCATGGTGAGGAGAGTTCTGTTTTTGATCGGGACGATCAAATTTGAAGAAGGGGGTAAATGTTACGACCCTGGCAATCGATCCCAGCTACCTGCGGCGGGAAGTAAACAAGCCATATTTCTTGGAATAGTAATTAGGTGATTCGACGGCTATTGAGATGACTCGAGAAGATTATCGACCTGTTCACGATATTTCGAGTGGAATCTAGACGTTTTATTAGGTAATATAAATAGATGTCGTTAGGGACAGGAAGAGAAGTCTTTATTTGGAAGCGTTATAATAACGATCGAAGAAGTGTTGTGAATCGGAAGTGTTTAGTACGAGTATTGTTATTATTGTATAGTAGAATAAATCGTTTTAAGTGTTCTACCGAGTGTTAAATTATTACGGACCCAGAGTAAAATCGTAACAATATTTCTAAGGATTCCGAAAAAATTGTCAACCCAGAAGAGATTTGTGAGGAATTCAATAAGTACTTTGTAAATGTTGGACCGAATTGAGCTGCCAAAATCAAATCGTGCTCCAAATTTGAGAATAACAGAACAAGTGATGCATCGATGTACTTGAGACCAACAGACGAAGAGGAAATTGAAGACATCATCAATACCCTAAATACAAGAAAATCTCCAGGATTTGATCAAATTTCGGTTAATGTAGTTAAGACAGTGAAATCAGAATTATCTTCAATACTCACCAAATTAATCAATTTATCATTTACATCAGGAGATGTACCAGACAAAATGAAAATTGCCAAAGTCAGACCAGTCCACAAAACTTGTCAGAGAGATAAAATGGAGAACTACAGACCTATTTCAATATTACCAGTTATTTCTAAAATTATAGAAAAAGTAATGAATTACCGATTGCAAGAATATCTAGAGGCGAAGAAATATCTTTACAGCCATCAATATGGCTTTCGAGGGTCATGTGATACGGAGTCCGCAGTTATGGATGTTGTACAAACAAGATATGTGGACTCTCATCAATTGACTTAAGAAAGGCATTTGATACTGTAAATCATGAAATTCTCTTGAATGAATTTTATTGTATTGGTCTAAGAGGTCCTGTCTACGACTGGTTTCAAAATTATTTGAGTGATAGGAAACAATTCGTATATTTAAGAGAATCATTCAGTAAGAGCGATGAAATAGTATGCGGTGTACCGCAAGGATCAGTATTGGGCCCTATTCTATTTCTTATTTATATCAACTCTATTGCAAATTTGAAGTTGAAAGGTAAAATTTATATGTTTGCCGATGACACAACCTTAATCTATTCAGCAGGTTCAGCAAAACAAATTAGGGATGATATTTCAAGTGATTTGAAAATATTATTATCATGGTTATCATGTTATAAATTGAGTATAAATTATAGTAAATCAGCATTTATGATAATTTCAAAAAAATCAAGATATAATGAGTACCAATTTCCAATTGCATGTAATAATGAAGTCATCAAATATTCAAATTATATCAAGTTTCTTGGTCTGTACATAGATGAACATTTGTCATGGTCAAAACATATTGAAATACTTAGGAAAAAAATATCTCCAATAATAGGTATACTTTTTAGGGTACGGAACCAAGTTCCTATAAAATGTCTCAAATCTATATACTTCTCTTTGATCTATTCTAAACTTGAATATTTGATTTCTGTATGGGGTTCAACAAAACTATCAATTATAAAGCCTCTCAAAACTCTTCAAAATAAAATTATCAAATGTATATACAGACTAAATTATTCGGAACCTACTATGAACCTTTACAGAAGAAGAGAATTATTAGATATAGATTCCTTATATAAATTCAAATTAATGTCGTTCATTCATTCAGTTAAACATTGTCAAAAGCATTCAAATTTGGTTTTCCAAGTCAATAGTAATCACCACAACCATACAACCAGACAAGCAGATCATTTTTCTGTCAAGAAAATTAAATCAGATATTGGTAAAAAATCCATCTATCACAATGGAATGATACAATACAATTCACTACCAAATAACTTGAAGCTGATTAATAGGATTGAAAAATTTAAAAGAGAATTCAAGAAACATCTACTCCTGTAATATTGACATCTTATCTCATTTTTATAGTTTTCTTGTACAACTACTATAGTTTTCAATTGTGTACCTAACAGCTGAGTCAATTGAGGATCATATTCATTTGAACTTGAAAAAAAAAAGATTCTTTTTGAGTGTGAGTCTTATTTTACTGTCTTCTTTATTTTATTTTGTCAAATATATTTATGTATTCACTATGTTCCCTGCTATAAACAAATGTTGTTTCTTGGGAATAATAAAGTTGATTGATTGATTGATATATTATAGGAGGGAACTTATTGTACAGAACTCTGCACGCAAATCTCAAAAATATAATCCCCAGTCCCATAGTGATTAAAAGAAATATAGAAGATGGGCAAATGATACAAGAAGGAAAATTCAGGTTTAGAGACTTGAAAGCATATCTGGAAGAGAGACATTACCCCCCACATATATGGATCAGTGAATATCAAACAGCCATAAACAATCGAATTGAATATAATGAGAAACTCAATGAATTGGTTGGATTTAGCTTACATTTAGATTCAGATGGTATGCCAATATTAAATAGTTTCAAATTTGAATGTTTGAAGCATCTTGAGAATTATTTTTCACAAGAGAATAAATCTAGCTATGCTAATGTCATAATTGCACAGCCTCTAGTCGATAAAGTTCCTGGATTTTGTTTGTGTGTATATGGAACTAATAACAAATTCAATGCTGAAGTCGTGCATAAGAGATGGAAGAAAATGATAGAGTTAGCTAAACAAGAAGGGCTGGTTATAGAAGGTTTCTCTAGCGATGGCGATTGTAGAATGTTGAAAGTAATGAAAGTCAATACTTGTTTACCAACTATTTATGATGATCCGAGCAGAAGTAGTTGGTTTTTTATTGATAGTATGACAAATCAACCCCTTTTTATTCAAGATACTGTTCATATTGGAACAAAATTAAAGACATTATTTTTTAAACCAAACGTTGTGCTACCAATAGGATCATATATGATTTCTCCTGAACACCTTAGCAAACTGATCAAACTCGTTTCTAAAGACAAACACTTGCTAACTAAATCAACTCTGAATCCAACCGATAAGATGAATTTCGAATCTGTCGGAAGAATCACCGACACAAAAGTTACAACTCTTTTATTTGACCACGTCGAAGGCAGTAAAGGAACAGCAACATTCCTGAAAATGTGTCGTTACATTTTGGATTCATTCTTATCTAAAAATATGAGTGCTAAGGAAAGAATCGAAAAAATGTGGACAGCTACATTCTTTTTCAGAATATGGAGATTCTGGATTAATTCCCATGAAAACTACAAACTAACAAATAACTTCATAACTTTGAACTGCTACACTTGTATTGAAATAAATGCACACTGTATCATTCACTTCATTCAGAGATGTCCAGAAACTGGTCAAGAACTTTTCTGTCCCTGGCTGCTAAGCAGCCAACCTTGTGAAAAAACCTTCAGGAAGCTGCGTTCCCTCACTAGTACGTTCTCAACAGTAGTTAACTTTTCAACAGCTGATATATTAAGGCGACTGAACAGGATAGATATGATTTACAAAATCTCATGTGATACAGGTTTGTAGAATGAATGAGTTTAATATCAACTGCAAAACTAATTATTTATCATTTCAGATTTCTGTTTTCCTTGAGAACAGAATAGAAGATTGGGAGACGATGCTCCTGTTTATAGCGAGACTATGCCATCAGATGATGACATTAATGGAGTAATCAGAATATCTTTAGAAAATGCTCTCACCCATTGTGAAGAATTAGGCATGAATTTTCCTGAAGAATGTGAAAAATCATATTTGAAACCCATTTTGAAACGTGCAGTATTCGAGATGGATAATGGTGAGTCTGAATGATGATCTGATGGATGATTTAGCCGAGGATACAGGTACGAGTATCGGTAAATAAAATAGATATGTAGTCGACTTTTATATACTATGACCATGACTAGTGTGACTTTAGTCCTAAAATCCTAAATTATATTTTCATGAACATATAATTTTAGGTTTTGATAATACGACTACTACAGACATTTGCTTGAGTTCATCTGAAGATGAATAATATGCCTATTCATTTTATTAAAATCCAACTAGAAAACGACAAAACAATCATTGTGAAGAAAAAAACGCCTATTCATTTTATTAAAATCCAACTAGAAAACGACAAAACAATCATTGTGAAGAAAAAATCTTTGTGTTGGTTGTTTCAAAGTGAAAAAACTAAGTTGAGTAATGATCGATTATTTAGAGTAAGAGGACCAAAACTCTCGATGCAAAACAAGGTTGCACCTCGTGTTTCACACATCAGGAGACCATCGCAGAAAATTTATCCTGAGGTTCATCCATCTCCTAACGAAAGCGAAGGAGAAACGGAAGAAGAATCAGAAGATATTGATCTTGATGACACTTCTTCCGATAATGGAAATATCCTCGAAAACGATTCATCGGAGAATGAGGTTGAGGAAGGTGAGAAGCAACCTTGCATTGAACAGGAGAAATACTATGCAATCTATTATGAGGAAAACTGGTATTTAGGGAGAGTCATTAATATTTCAGGAGATATGATGAAAATTAAATTTTTAAAACAGGAGTTAGAAGAATATTTATGGCTCAAGAAGGATGATATACAAACTGTTGAAAAAAAATTCGTTTTCTATGGCCCTGTAGTACTCTTAGGAAATTATCCCTTCAGATTGAGAATATTTGATAAAATAACAAAATAACTATTGACAAAATGTATAAGAAGTTAAGAAGAATTCAAATGTAGGCATTAAATCACATTAAATATCATCAGCATCAAGACATTGTTTTATTTTCAATTCCATTTTTGAATTACCTATATAATAATAGATATTTATTGTTTGTCAATTGTTTTTACTTTTTTTTTCTAAATTTGATACAATTTGTTGAGTTATTTTTCTCCTATGATTTTCTGATTTGATATGAATTAACATAATTTTGAAGGTATACACTGAGAATCCTAGATCACATGTTTATGAGAAACTAACTAATTGCCTGAACACCGAATTCTTCCGAAAATTTCACAACAAACATTTTCCATCAATTTGAAGCCTGTATTTCCTATCGTTACCAAAGCAACTGAACAAATTTGTTGAAAATTATTTCCTCCTCCTTGGGGGACGGAGCATGAAATTACACAGGATTTTTTTTTACGTTTATAGGTTAAATGACATTTATATTCAACTTCAGATTATTTCGAGTTGATTCTATGAGTCAATAAATAAAAAATTTCTTACCGAATACCACTTTAGCTTCAATTAATATCCAGGAATTTTTTCTGGAACATGAATATTTTGAAAATTCTTGTTCTCGTCTCCGTCTCGGCTTTATTTTGATTGATAGAACAAAACGTTTCAGACAAAAATGTAGGGAAATGGTCAGTAACTATGAAAATGATATCATTGATATACTTTCATCAGACAAAATTCTATAAAAATCAAATTTTTTTACTTGGTGTTGGTTGTTACGCCCTCTAGCGGACGTTTGACAAACTCGAAAATAATTTCCAGCAATTTCTCTTGGCGACTTTTATCATGATTTTTCTTTCTCAAATCTATAGGACCAATATCTTAGGAGATATGGCCGCTGGCTACCCTTAACTTACCAATTTACCAATATATTATAAATTCAACAAAAACTAACATTTGACAACTCCGCTTCTATATGCAGAAATCTGGCAAAAAATTCGAGTTCATGAGCAAATGCAACAGATGGTCGAAATGCCAGGTCCCAACTAGGTCCCAAACAAGTGTTACCATTTGAATACATGGGCGGTGTATATCTAGAGGGAGTGGTTAACGTTAATCCTCATGTTAATCTATGAGTAAGTCTGCATGTTTGCAGATTGAATCCCCTAACAACTCCTGAAGACTTGACAAATTTGTTGATGGAAAATGTTCCTGAAGTGAAATGTAAAGCTCTAAATTCAAGATTTTTAACACTGTATTTGTCTTTGCTTTGATTTCATTGAAACTCCCCTCTTAATGAGATACTGTCTACTATATAATTTGGATATTGATCTGGTTTCAGCACCTCAACAGGACTATCAAAAGTAACATCAGGCATAGCAAAAGGATTTGATAAATCACAGTTGTCATGTTTAGTATTACTGGGTTATAGCAAAGCATTTGATCTTCTGATTTGGGGAAAATGTGTGTCTATGGTTCATGAATTAATTGAAAAACAGAAAGCAAATTGTTGAGGAGGATAATATGAGATCTAATCCAGTATTCACCAATCTAGGTGTACCACAAGGGGTTTATACTGTTTTGCATATACACAACCAACATAACCTGGGTGGTGAACCATTGCAAATTACACCTTTATGCAGATGACACACAAATGATAAAATATTTGACCCTGTAGAGGCTAGTGCAACATTATGCATTATACCTAATAAATAAAGATCTTGATAGAAAAGTTGACTGATCAAATGATCATGGACTGAGAGAACCCAACAAAAAACTGTTTCTCATTTATTGGGTCAAGTGCAATCAGGTGTGAATTCTTTCAACATAACTTCAGGACTTTACATATTAAAAACAATGAGATATCCTACAAGGAAAGTGTTAGAAATCTAGGACTGATATTTGTTTCCAGTTAAAATTTTGAACCTCATGTGAACAAAAAAATATCAATAATGTATATGAAGCTGAAGCAAATCCACAAATTTAAATTCATATTTGATAAGCAAATTCAATTTATACTTAATTTAAAGTCTATTATTGCCTGGAATAGATATATTTCATAAGTTTTTAAGTTTTCAACTTGAAGGAGCAAAACAATATGATAACAAATTACAACTTTCACAAAATGCCTGTATCAAATCACAACATTCACAAATATGATCATATAACCCTTGTATATAACAGCAACAACATCCTGAAAATTGAATATTGTTATCAATTACTATTTGGATTACTTTTTTAAAAAATCATAGATGATAATAAACCCAAGAATAAACCAGCATATTTAACAGACTTTCCAACTCATTAGTCCTGTTTATTTGTGCTTGATATACCTACTGAACTGGATTTTTTTTTCTATGACTCTCTGTTCACATCATACCATGAACAGATAGACAACTATAGGGAAAAATCGAGGAAAAAATCAACTTCAGCATGTTCAGCAATACAAAGGAACAGGCTACATGTCATGGACTGTATTACCAGCATAACCATAGAAATATTATGAGATACAACATCAAACCATACAATAAAATTTTTCAATAACCCAGAATACTCTTAGAACTCAGAGCAGATATGTAGCTATCTAGCTTCAGAAGAATATGGAGAGACTATCTTATAAGTATTCAGAAATGAAATGTTATAAAAATCAAATCAACACTATACAAGGTGTTCCTTAAAGACATGCTAATATTTCAGGGGGTGATTCATTCACTCATTTTAGGAAGAAAACTTCATATGAACATATGTCCTAAAAGTCTCAACTTTTGAGACACAGAGTGATGAAGTTTTGAAAAATATTCAGTTTTTTTATAATAACTGAGACAATTTTGTATACATCTTCATGAAATTTGGTACACATCTTTTATGCATCGAGGTGCATTTTCTGATGCACCTATGATTATGGGAATATTATTGTTTATAGTTTACTTGAAAGTGAGTAAGGACAAACAATTTTAACATTTTATATAATGTCATGAAAAGCTATTCAATTATGTACAGTTGATACTGGATAAAACACTTCGTTTTTGAGAAAAAACAGAAAAATAAGACCAGACTTCAAATTTTGATGTCTTAGTACTCCATTCAGGACATCCATTACTGGATAACCACAGTATGTAACATTTTGAAATTTGTATACCAATTCAGTCACATAGCAGACTTAATTTTGCCATCAAGGAAAGCTATACAGGTTGGACAAAAATAATCCATACATATTTTCAACATTGACACCCTGTATCTCAAAAGTTAGGATGTTTACTACACACAAGTTTTATTCATGATATTGTTTGAAGAATCAACCCCTTGGATATTAGCATATCATTAAGGAACACCCTGTATATTATTAATTCATTCATTCATACTATTACATATTTTTTATATTCAAGTTATTATTGTTTTCATTGGTGTTTTATAAATGATTGAAATCTAGATTTCATTATTTGAGCTTTTTACCCCTAAGGGGTGGTGGTGTGGAAGAACCTGTCAACCAATGCCACCTTTTGTGTAATGTATTCATGTTCTTGGAAGTATGTTTTTCTATTCAATTTTTCTACATACCAATTGATTAGTAGCTGTTGAAATATCACTAACTCTCCCCCAGTAAACTGGTATGGAATCATAGAGTCTGTTTGGCTCCCATCCAACAACCTTCAAGTAGTCTCTTGTACCAGTGAACATACACTCTCCATCTGGATTGAAGCACAAACATCTTACTGCTCCTATTTCAGGTTCAGTAGACACTAAATTGAAATTTTCCAAGTCATAAAAGTTAACTGATCTATCTATGCTTCCACTTGCTAACAAAAACTCATGTGGATGAAATTCCACACATGTTACAGGGTTTATATGTTCTTGAAAATCTTTCAATACTCTCCCAACTCTTAGGTCCCAAATTTTCAGGCTTGAGTCTTCACCACCAGTAGCAATCCACTGGCCATCAGGACTGAATTTTACACTATTCACTGTACCTTTATGACCATTATAGGTGAAAAGAACACCTTTTTTCCTGGTGTCCCACATTTTGATGGAACTATCAGCACTGCCAGACACAAGAAAGTCTCCATAAGGATGAAAATCAATGCATTTGATAGCATACTTATGTCCATTCAGAGTTCGGACTAATTTGGCAGCTTCCAAGTCCCACACTTTCAAAGCACCAGCTCTTGAACCAGCACACACTAATTCTTCCAACTGATTGAACTGCACACAATCTACAGGTGTTGTATGGCCACTCAAACTCATAAAACAACTCTGCTTTCCAATTGCCCACAGGTTCACCTTCTTATCATCACCCCCAGTAACCATTACTCTTCCTGACTTGTGGCCGAGGGAAAGACAGTTCACATTGGCACTGTGAGCCATGAAGTCCTCTAAAAAAAACAGGAATTTAGAAAACAAAACAACACTAAAATAATTGATATTTAGTCAACTTACGGAATTTCCATGATCTCTTTGTGATAGAAGCCATTGTCAGGAAAGGAAAACTAATTCAATATGCAAATGTTCACCTCAGCTCCATGGGCTTTCCAATGTGAATATGATTTGCTGAATTAAAACTCATGTATTCAAAAATAGCATTGGAAAAATATAAATAGCAGCACTGTTTAAATAATATAAAAAGTAAACTTATAAACAGTTTCAAGGGACATTTCCTTGAAATGTTTGGAATAGCCGAGGTAATAGCCTTATATGGTGTCTCACAACTTGGATGTTGTCATAAAAATCATAAAATACAGAAGGAATGAACTAATGATACACAGTCCAGACATGTCCAGATCATTCATAAAATTAACATAATAAGGATAACAATGAAATCAAGTCGTGTACAAGATACCATAGATCTATTGTCTTGCTTTCAACAACACGCAATTTTCCTAATCTCCACGACCCCTTCAACAGAATCTGAGATTTTATTTTATTTTTTATGTACTCACTCAGAGTTCAGACTACTCAGAACCTCAGTCTCAGACTCTCAGAAGAAGTCAGAACTCAGAAGTCAAAGTCACGTATAACGGTTTCCATTGGGCATGCACTGGTGCAATATTTATGATACACTCGGTGTATATCTATCTTACTTTTTGACGTGTAGCAGAAAGAGAAATGTATACACTGAGTGCGCACTAGTTTTACCAATGGAAACCGCTATAAAACCAGAGTTGCCAACACAAGATTTCCCCTTTCGGTGCATATATTATATCTACTACTTCGGTCTCAAATCGGCCAATAGACGTTGATGCCGACGTGGGAAAAAATAATGTGGCAATAATGCTACTAATTTCAAATTTTCCATCCTTCACTTCCCGTCCTCATAAAGTCAAAAAGTACATCTTCTCATTTTGGTCCCATTTTTGTTGAGACATCGTATAGGCGATGCGCCATATATAGAAATAGTAGATATATGGTAATATGTTTGCCAAAGGTGGATTGTTTGCCCATAGATCTAATTTTGTGTAATTAGATCTATGGTTTGCCCAAGGACTAAGATGCGGTATATGATAAGACCTTATATGATAAGGACTCGATGGCGCTATTTTCGATTTTTAGTACTAGCGTACCAGAACTTGACTAATAGTACCACAAGTAGTACAGTTATACTAGCAGGAACATCCCTGCAAATGACAAAAATAGAGGAAGACATAAACAAACTACAGAGTGTAAAGTATTTAGGTGGAGGTGGTGGGAGCAACTATTTCCTAATGACGCAATATCAATATATTTTTGAATTTCTATTTCTTTCACTTCACCTACTTCCACAGTTCAACCGTGTACTTGCTACGGCATCCAGGCCATTCATTTTCAATCCGAATGTTCCCGTCATATCCTTCATTTTTTGTGAACAATAATAATATGTCTTTTCAAATAATTATATGATCATCTTATGACATTCTTGAATAAATCTAGTCAAATAACTAGAATTATATGTATATAGTTTGAAGGTTAATGAAAATATCTATAAAAGGGTCATAAACATACTTATAAAATTGAACTTTTGTTATTTTTTCTTCAAATTTGATTTCAGTCCTGTTTACTGTAATTTACCTGCTAGAGGTCTTGTAAATATCATTTCAACCAGATAGCTTTCAAATAAATTTCCATTTTTTCAATATTAAACAATTCAATAAGTACCTAGTCAATTTTGCTTTATTTCAATTTTCGAATTTTGATCATCGAGAACATATATGTTAGTAGGTTAGTTATAGGCATTTCAGTAGGTATCAAGGATTACCTATTAACTCCCAAAAAACTGTTTAGAGTTAATAGTCATAAGGCCTGTTCGTTTGTGCTTGATGCTCTACTTGTTGAACTTGATTTTTTTCTATGACTTTCTCTGTTTACATCATGCCATGAACAGAGACAAATATAGGCAAAATATCAACTTCAGCAAGCTCAGCAATACAAACGAACAGACCTATTGGCATATGTCTACTATTATTTCTATATATATACATCGCCTATACGCTATCTCAACAAAAATGGAACCGAAATGGAAGGTACTTTTTGAATCTATAATAAGGAGGTTCCTAAATAATTATTTGATCATAATGAAATATTGAAAATCATCAATTGTTGATAATACCACAGTATAATACCGTCAACTTCGATTTATCCCTTTATGATGTGGTCAAAATATAGCAAAGCATAATGTCAGTAACCTTGGAGGAACAGGAGAAAGCCATTGCAGATTGCAGATGATAATAAATGAAGTGCAAAAATGATTTCATTCAGTTCGGTGGAATCTCGTAACTCACACCCTTTAATCCACCATTATTGCATCAGATCTTGGTATTGTAAATTGAATATAATCATTGAATAATCGGTCAGGGTTAACCTACGTATATGTATTCTCGTTCAACACTACTTATCATTTACTGATGGTTTATTATTACTTTAAGAAAATTTCCAATATATTATGAAAAACATCGAATACTTCAACTCACGTTTAGCTAGTGAGAGTTGGGACGCTGTGTATCATCATGATAATTCAGAAGCTGCTATGGGAGCATTTTTTCGTATATTTTATTCACATTTCTACGAAGCTTTCCCATTAGAATACTCTTATAATCGGAAAAGTAGTCAAAAAAACCAATGGATCACCCCTGATCTCGTTGAAGAAGGTGTTTTTTTAAGAGACATATATATAGAATCACGAAAACATATCCAGATGACACTGATTTGAAGGAAAGATATAAAATCTTGAAAAAAAAAACATGAACTGAATATCACAAATACAAAGAAAATTTTCAATACCCAAAATATTCAGAATTCATTCAACAAATCTCGCACAACATGGAAAATTATAAAAAACTCACTGAACTCAAACGATAAAAAAGACATTCCAGATTCAATAATTGATGAAAACGAGAAGGTAGGTAATTACAAATTCTGTAGAAATGGCAGATGCTTTCAATAGTTTTTTTGTAAATAGTGTATCCAAACTGACCCAAACATTTCATGTAAATAAAGAATATAAACAAAGAATTTGGAATAATAATTGTGCTTCGTTTTTCTTGGCACCAGTTACCTCCCGTGAGGTGTTCGACATTATTCAAGATGTTTGTAAGAAAAAATCTAGTGGTGTAGACGAAGTACCTACCTTGCAATTTGATAAAAGAGGTCTCCCAAAATATTGTGGAAGTTCTCACATTTGTGATAAATATTTCCTTCAAATTGGGACAATTTCCATCACAACTGAGAAATGCTGTAATTGTTCCAGTTTTTAAGAAAACAGTCCCAGCGATATAAGTAATTATAGACCAATAGCATTACTGTCCGTATTTTCTAAAATACTTGAGAAATGTTTTCAAATCAGACTCTTGAAATATCTATCTAAATTTGAGCTATTAACGAAACGCCAATATGGTTTCACTAAAAATTATTCGACTCAGGATGCCATCTTGTCATTCTATGAAAATATTCTTGAAAATTTCAATAACAAATGTAAGACCTCTGGGTTGTTTTCTGACTTTCAAAAAGCATTTGATGTTGTTAACCATGAACTACTTCTGAACAAAATGGAAAAATATGGAATAAGGGGCCCCCCTCTTAGATGGATAAAAACTTATTTGGAAAACAGATCCCAGCAGGTCCGCATTAGACAAGAAGGCTCAGATAGTCAGATATTCTATCTGATACCTTGCAACTGTCCAGCGGCGTCCCACAGGGCAGTACATTGGGACCAACGTTTTTCTTAATTTTAATAAATGATCTGACTTTCAACTTCCAAAATGGATTTCTCACACTTTATGCTGACGACACTTCCGCAGTGGTGAATTCTAACAATCTTGTACACTTAGCTTCTAGATCAACAAATTGTATCGCTGAAATGGAGAACTGTTGTCATCAAAATGGTATCATCTTGAACGTTGCAAAAACTGTATCACTGTTGTTTTCACCAATCAGCTCCAAGTCTGACCTAAGCCTTCTTGTAAGATCAGGTATATCAAATGTATCCATCAAACAGAGTGAAACTGTCAAATTTCTAGGCTTACTAAAATTTGTTTTGTTTGTTCTAAAATTTGTTCTATCCGTCATTCGGTTGCCCCCTTACGAGCAACCCTCAAAAGTCTTCGAAAGTCTTGTGCGAGCAAGGAATGACGGGGGCCTTACCTTTTGACGTGTGATCCCAAACACTTTCTTGGGCCATCAGAAAAATTTCTGCAGTCGACGGGGATCGAACCCACGACCGGCAAGCGAATGCGAATTAGAATATAGACACTCTGTCCGCACGGCTACCTGACCAAAACCTTTCCTGGGATGCTCATACTCAACAATTAATAAAAAAATTATCCACAATGAATTTTGCCATTTTTCAACTTAAGAAGGTCACCAATACAGAAGCTTTGTTGTCCTATTATTATGCTTGTGTTAATTCTGCCCTAAGATATGGGTTATACTTTGTTGGGGAAATAGTGAAGGAGCAAATAGAGTATTTCTTAGCCAAAAACGTATAATTAGGAGTATTTTTGGTATAAGACAAACGGATTCCTGTAGACCATTTTTCATTGAATATGGAATTCCAACTGTATACAATCTTTACATTCTAGAAGGAGCATGTTACATTTTCAAAAATCTAGACAAATACAAAACATGTGGACAAGTGAATAGTTATGTAACGAGGAATGCTCATAAACTGTATGTACCATCTTTTTCAATTGCTCAGATAAAGAAGGGGCCAATTCATACCTCGATAAGGTTATTCAATCATCTACCTGATTCTCTGAAAACTTCACCCAGCCTCTATATTTTTAGAAAAAATGTTAAAAAATTTTTAGGTGCTAGATGTTTCTATTCTTTGGAGGAATTTTTCTCTGACTCATAACGGTCCATTGTAAATGAATAATAAGAATTGTGTTAAATATGGTTGATTATTGTGTCCTTGTTCGTATTCTTACATGTATTTTGAATGTATTATTATTATTGTATTGTTATTTCACTCTTTATTATTTTAGCATAGCATATATTATGTTGACAATCATTTATTTTAAATTATGTCTATATTTTGTTTTAGATCATTTTTAAATAAGTGTAATCATAGATAAGTATTGACAATTTTCAATACTTGGAAATCCAAGTCTGAAGGAAATAAAGTATTCTATTCTATTCTATTCTATTATGCTTGTTGCTGGATGATTGAAAACTCCATTGAAATTGTATGAGAAAAATGATGAGGCTGAAGCTCCATTGTCAGCCTCATATGTTGAACCAACCATTACCTACAAAGCTTGGGATCTTATCAAATGTTTCAATGCTTCTTTATTGATAGGTGAAATAGTGTAATATGGAGTATTCTTGAGGACTTCATTACTAAGAAACGGTTTATGTAGAAATGCATTTCTCATCATCTATATTTGCAATTCCAGATATACATTCCAGTGAAATCAGTTGTGTTACACGATATAGGGTCGGCAAATTTCATTAATAACCAGGTACAAACTTTATGTTCGACTCATATATAGCTGGTCGACTCGTTACACACTTCTCT